TGTCTAATTTTCATGTAATCCAAAATCGAAAATCATCCATAAACTCCTACATACATACATACTCTCTCAATTTATATGATATATGTTTATTCTTGAAATTCAAGCTATGTGAAATTTAATTGATATTTTTAAATATTTTTTTATTATTATATTAACATGATAAGAATCGCAACTTATAGTGTTTGTTCAAAAATATAACCTTCTCACTAAGTTGCAATTCAACCTAAAATATTATTAGTTGCAATTCTTGTCATGTTTAATATTATAAAAAATATTTTATAGCTTGAATTTCGAGAACAAAAAATAATAAATTAATAGAGAGAAAAAATGAAAAAATAATTAATTAAACTAAAGTTAAAATTACGTTAAGGGTTAAAAAGAAGCTGAAAAAAGAAGGACAATGTGTGATGAGAAAGAAAAAGTAAGAGAAAAGATTAAAATTTAAGGAGAGAAAAAAGTAAGAAATTTCAGATAGGTAAAAGTAGCCAGTGGATCCCAGAATATACAAATGGCAGCCAAAGAGGCCCTCATACAACTAACAATAAGTGTGCCTAGTACAAAATAAAATTTTTTCCTTTATATCTGCATTTCAACATCAGAATTTTCAAAGGTCTAAAAGACCATCAGAATATTTACTCTTATTTAGAAATGACAATTAAAAGGACTAACACTACTGTCAAAATAAAATATATCTGTATTTAAGGAGAGAAAAAGTAAGAAATTCAAATAGGTAAAAAGTAGCCAGTGGGTCCCAGAATATACAAATGGCAGCCAAAGAGGCCCTCATACAACTGACAATAAGTGTGCCTGGTACAAAATAAATTTTTTCTTTATATCTGCATTTCAACATCAGAATTTCAAAGGTCTAAAGACCATCATAATATTTTACTCTTATTTAGAAATGACAGTTAAAAGTACTAACACTACATTAAATTAGTTGTACAATGTGCAAAGAATTTTCTACATTAACTTTTAACTTATTAAATTAGTTGTACAACGTGCAAAAAGAATTGTACATTAACTTTTGAATAAATAGGAGTATTATATGTCACCAGCTGTCTGATCATTCATTATATTGAAGACATGTGTACTACCTTTTATTACTCATACATATATATACAGTTACCAGACACAATAGCTCCAAATATATACTACTTTAACTGTCTCAATTTAAAGATTTTGATTAGAAGTGAGACTTTAGAGGACGATCACGGCACTACCAAGTTGTACACAAATCATTTCAAATTGTACTATAAAAATTAATTGTGGCTCATTAATTGTACACGTGTCTTTCTACATATACAACAACCCACATGAATAATTATTTTTCTGACTTTTTTTCCCTCAGTTTCTCTCTCTATATATTTGGTTTTTTTTCTTTTTTCCTACTTTCCATTTCCCCTTTTACTCTCTTTATTTATCTTTGATCTTAAATTTTTCATACATCTTTAAATATTTGAATTATTAATTATTATGAATTATAATATTTTGATTTTTACGTAGTTTACAAATATATAAATTTCATTTAAAAAAAATTGAAGATATCATACGCAAATTATGGTCAAACTTAGACTATTTGATTCTCGAGAAATAAAAAGTGTCACATAAAATGGGACAGACGAAGGATAACTCTCAATTAAATTTATATCACTATTTATTTCTCATTTTTAACATAATTTTTCAAGTCGGATTTCTAGAATTCTATTGTAGACCCCATTTAAAATTTTACCTTTTTGTTTTAAATTAGAGAACTTGGCCGCACTTCGCGCGAGCATTAAAATTAAATATTTTTGATTAATTTTATATTTACTCTATTGTTTAATCGTAATATTATTATTTGTTTTTAATAATATGAAGATTGTGAAAAAAAATAAAGCTTGACAAATTTTACATCTATTAGATGAGGAAGAATATATTTTTTATCAAATAAGTTAAACTATATTTGCTAATAACAAATTCTTTCATTGCATGAAGTTGATCCTTTAATATATAATATATATTTCGGTGTACCATTCTCCTTAAATGTCTAAGAAATATCTCGTAATGTGAAATAACACTGTAATACTCCCTCTGTTCCTAATTACCTGTCCACTTTTAAATTGACACATTTATTAAGAAATCAATTAATGACATAGTGAGTTTATCATTTTACCCCTATTAATTATGAAGTAGATGAAAAGTTATGCAATTTTCAAAGTAATTAGTCATTTAATTGAGGGTATAATAGGTAAAAAAAATTGTTCTTTCTTCATTTGTCAAAATGGACAAGTAATTAGAGACAACTATAAAAGGAAAAGTGAACAAGTAATTAGCGACAGAGGGAGTACTAAACAAATGCATCAACAAATGAAATTTATATTAAAAATATATTGAATAATGACGTAATGATACCTTAATAGAATTTCCTATCCATTTTAAAAAAAAATATTCACCCTTTCAATTTCGTTATATCTTCTTATTTAGTAGAAGAATCATCATTTATTATATTCTACTCCACCTTAATTTGTACCATCAGAGTTTTAAGAATAAACATTAAATTTTAAATCGAAATAAAAAATCATTGAAAAATGACAGAAAAAATAATAATAGTATATGAAAATTAAAATAAGGTGCAAGAAAAGCCTTTTCACGATAATTTTTTGAAATATATTGATAATAATTAAAATAGAGCTGTTATTTTATCTTTAAAATTAAGTTTGATTGAATTGAATTAGTAGAATGACAAAAAAATATTAAACTAATAACTTTTTAATGTTATTAAATGCATTTCTTTTTAATTGAGTAGTAGATTAAAAGTTCCGAATTAGGATATTAAAATAATACCTTACTCTCTCCTTAATTATTATGGTATTGCAAACATTTATTTTCCTTAAATGGTGATTCATTTTCCATTTACAGTTATATCCAATTAATTTCTAATGTATTGAATGTGGTTATGGGATATTGAAATAATATCTTTATCTTTCCTTAATCATAATAAAATTATAATTTAACATTAATTTTTCTGAAATGATAATTTTGTTTTAATTCCTAGAACATATTGTTTACTATATTGAATGTAATTATAATAAAACATATTGTATTTAGTATGACAAAAGAACTCAAAATTTTTAGAAATTAGACAAATAGTAATCTTAGCTTCTAAGAAATGTCACATCATCATTTACATATCCAACTTTATATATATAAAAGAGTCAAAAAAGAAAAAATAAGTGATTTAAGAAAATTCTATAAATAACATTAATGATGAGATGAAGATTAAGAAAAAACGTCAAATAAATTAGTAGTATTGATGATGATAAAAGTTAAATAAATATTTTTTTCTATTATTTAAATTTTTAACATAAATTTTCAGATCTTTG